GTTCACATTATCACACAATTTATACAACAAGCTTAAAACAAATTATTTAAAAAATTAGGCCTTGTTAATTCTTATAGAAGCGGCCCCATTTCACACTCACATAGGTGACTCTACTTGAGTATCCTTCTATACTCAACTTAACTTAACCTCTACATTTGCAGGTATCACTAATAAAATGAATGGCTGGAGGTTTAATCTCCTCAATGACATACCACTGTTACGCGCAATTAGGTTGTCCCATTAAACCTAGATCTTGGGATCTCTAGTCAACTAGGTTGGGTTTCCATTTTGGTAACACCTTACACTAAAGGCCTTAACCCCATTCCTTCACCCCATTCCTTCTAACGACTTCTCTACTAACACTCGATTTAACCCTTTGGTTAGCGGATCCGCAATGTTGTCCTGAGACTTTACATAGTCTAAAGTGACAACTCTGTACAAGAGTAGTTGCCGTATGGAATTATGTCTACGACGAATATGTCTAGACTTTTCATTATACATATTACTTTGTGCCCGTCCAATCGTCGATTGGCTATCACAATGAATACAGATTGCTGGCACAGGTCTCTACCAATAAGGAATATCCTCAACGAACTGGCAAAGCCATTCAACTTCTTTAGTTGCTTTATCCAAAGCAATAAACTCAGATTCCATCGTTGATCTCGATATACATGTTTACTTGGAAGATTTCCAAGACATGGTTGTCCCTCCAAGGGTAAACACATAACCACTAGTGGATTTGGAGTCTTTTATACCATATATCCAATTAGCATCACTATACCCTTCTAGTACCGCTGGATATTTGGTATAATGCAGCCCATAACCCTAGGTGTAACGTAGATAACCTAACACCCGCATAATGCCCCTCCAATGAGTAGCAATCGGATTACTTGTGTATCTACTAAACCTGCTAACAGAGTAGGCTATATTCAGTCTTGTATAACTCATTAGATACATCAAACTTCTAATGACTTGAGAATATTCTAGCTGAGAGACATTCTCACCATTATTCTTGGTCAAATGTAGACTCATGTCTACCGGTGTCCTAGACACACTTGTATCTGATTTACTAAAATTTTCAAGTATCTTTTCAACATAGTGAGATTAAAAAAGTACAATACCATCAGATGTTCTGGTAATCTTAACACCCAGAATTATATCTGCAAGGCCCATATCTTTCATGTCAAACTTAGAGTTTAACAATCTCTTGGTAGCTCTAATCATCTCATCATTACTACCAACAATGAATATGTCATCAACATATGGACACAAAATGACATAACCTCTGTCAGTGTCTTTGACATATACGCATTTGTTACACTCATTGATTTTGAACATAGCGTTGTCAAACTTCTCATGCCATTGCTTGGGAGCTTGCTTCAAACCATACAATGATTTGACAAGGTTACAGACTTTCTTATTTTATCCTGGAGCTGAGAACCCCTCGGGTTGCTCCATGTAGATTTTTTCATTCAAATCTCCATTTAAGAAAGCTGTCTTTATATCCATCTGATGTATCTCCAAACCACGTAAAGCTATTATCGCAATCACCATGCGAATGGATATAATCCTTATCACAAGTGAATACGTATCAAAGTAATCCAAGCCTTCTTGCTGCTTGTATCATTTGATAACTATTCTAGCTTTATACTTATCAATTGACCCATCAGCTTTCATCTTTCTTCTAAAGATCCACGTACTCCCTAAGGCCTTACTACTTGAGGGTAGATCAACCAACTCCCAAGTATGGTTCTGTAAGATGGGGTCAATCTCACTCTTAATTGCATCTTTCCACAAAGGACTTTCAGGTGAAGCCACAGCTTCATAGAAAGTTCAAGGTTTTCCCTTTAACATATAAGTCAAGAAGTCCAGACCAAAGGACTTTGTTGTCCTAGCCCTCTTACTCCTTCTTGGCTCATCTACATCCTTAGCTTGATTATCAACTTGATCATCTAAGTGATCATCTAGTTGATCGGCTATATGATCATTGTCACCTTCAACATCTTTCATGGAACTCGGAATCCCTTCTTGGAGACGGCAAGAAAATACATTTTCAAAGAAAGATGCAATTCTTGATTCCATGATAGTATTCTTGTGTATATCTGGAATAGTAGACTTAACCACAAGATATCGATATGCACTGCTATATTGTGCATAACCGATGAATACAAAGTCAACGGATTTTTAGACTTATCCTAACCCTCTTGGGTTTAGGTATTCCTATCTTTTTGCATGACACGCCCACATTTGTAGAAATTATACAAAGCCTTTTGGCCTTTCCCAAAAATTTATACAGGGTCTTTAAATAATTCCTTGTGTCACAATGATTATGAAACTCTCAAAATCATATCACAGTAAATACATTCTCAGAATGTCATCAACCGAATTAGGCACCCAAACATATTTGGTCCAACCTATCACTCTGAAGCCTTACTATTAGAAAACACAAATCCAGTGTTTAATAGTCTACTATTTGGAACTTCATAACATGGCTAGTAGTTTTATCACTAGGAATCACTAATTTCTCAGCATGTGGTCAGTAGACTTTCTACTACTAGGAATCATAATGTCTTAACCTTTGATCAGTAGTCACTTTACTACTTGGAATCACAACGTCCTGACATAGGACCAATAGACTTTTTCATTACTCGGAATCATCGTGTCTTGACATATGATCAGTAACCTCTCCACCACTAGGAACAACTATGTCTTGACATGTGATCAGTAATCTGTTCACTACTAGGAACCACAATCTCATAACTGTGTAGCCAATGGTCTAACACCTCCTAGGAATCACCAGTTTTCTATCTCTATGATTAGTGATCTTGTACTCACTAGGAGCCACCAATTTAAGAATATATTTAGAATTTAAAAAATTCAAAAAAAATATATTCACCCACCCTAACGGGTTGTTTAAGCAAAGTCACATAGCAATCATATGTGCTATAATTGACACAAGAATAACATACTAATTGCCTCTGATTTATTCAGAGATATTAACATGCAATCTTATGATTTCCTCTAATCACACTTGATCTCTCTAGATCTTCTTTTAAGAACCTTGTAAGGCTTAAGGTTGTCAGGTGGAACAACATTTTCTATTGTCACCTCTTAAAGCCATTTCTAAAAAATCACAACAAAATTTCACTATTCTGTTTTTTCAGAAACTAAACTTAACACTAGAAAATTCCAAAGTCTAAAATTTAATTCAAAACTAATCTCATCACTTACCCTAGAATCGAACATGATCAGGAAAGTTTTCAGGAAGACTGGAGGGGTTACATCGGACCCACTTAAAATCCAGTTAACCTTTGGACAAAACTTTCAAGAGTATGTTGGCTCCTAATCCATGGAAAACAATTTTAGAATTAAGTTTTCCAGGGGATAAACCAGGTTAAAACAAACCAATTCCCAAGCAAATAAAATTTGCTACCAGAATTACACCACTCATAAAAGTTAACCGGTACTCCCGAAACTGAGCCCATTATTTCTGAATAAAAATCAGAAATATTTTAGCTAATGCTAAAATTGGTTTCTTTTCTCAAAACCAAAACACTTTGGAAATAATCAGATTGTAACCAAAGACTTTCTCCAAACTTGGTTTTCTAACACTTTGGGAATAAAATGATTAAACCCAATGGCTTCCTCAAACTCCAAAGGTTTGAAACCAAATCCGCCTTAGTTGTCATTTCTGAACAAATAAGAACTACTCTTTGGCCAAGGCTAAACACTTTGGTTTCTATTACAGAAAACCAAACCAAGTTCCAAAACTTACAAGCAATTTAACAATTGCTAATCGAATTACAAACGATGTAAAAAAAAAATTGCTACAACAATGATTAAGAAAATAAAATGCTTCACTACAAGAAATTGCATTTTTCGCAACGCAACAAAATATGTTGCTAAAAGGAAAAACTCGTCGGCAAAAAGTTTCGCCGACACATAAAGCTACATTGGCAACCCATAGGTAAAAATGAGTCAGCAAAAGTTTTTGTCAACGAACTTATCATTGCATTGGTAAAAGTAATGCCTTTAGCAACAAACATAGTCATCGATAAAAGCCTTCATCCATTGTAGGCAATTTACCTTGCGTCGGTAAAAATAGTTCAAATATGATGATTGTGTGGCACTTTTCCCTACCAAATTTGCATGGGTGAAAAATATACTTTTAGTAACAAAATATGCGTCGGCAAAAGTAAACTTTTGGCGACACATTTACGTCGGTAAATGTTGCTATTTGCCGATGATTTGTTTGTCGATAAAACTTTACTTTTGGCAACGACAAATTGGCATTGGCAAAAAATACACTTCTAGCAACACAATATAAGTGGGCAAAAGTAAACTTTGGACTACACATTTATGTCGGTAAATATTGCCATTTGCTGACGACTTATTTGTCAATAAAGTTTTACTTTTGGCAATGATAAATTGGCATTGGCAAAAAATACACTTATAGCAACACAATATGAGTGGGCAAAAATAAACTTTTGGCGACATATTTACCGACATGTTATTTGTTGAGAAAGCTTTACTTTTTAGCAACGACAAATTTGCAACGGCTAAAATAACTGAAAATCATTTATATTTTTTTATAAGACTTACAGATTTACAAGAGACATCCCTCAGGCACCACTATTACAAACTAATAACATTGATTTGAAATCACCTAAAGTTGATGTGCAGGCAAAAAAATATTGCTGATACTGCTTTAAGAAGCATTGTATAAAACCTAAAAGGATAAACTCACTAAAATACCCAAATACATCCAAATTGTGTACCCATAGTAGAAATAACAGATAACAAAATGAAAACATGAAACTAACAAAGACAGGCAAAACAGCACGACAATCACCCACAAACTTACAACAACCCAAATTTGTAGCAGACCAGTATCCACAATATGAGTGGGCAAAAATAAACTTTTGGCGACATATTTACCGACATGTTATTTGTTGAGAAAGCTTTACTTTTTAGCAACGACAAATTTGCAACGGCTAAAATAACTGAAAATCATTTATATTTTTTTATAAGATTTACAGATTTACAAGAGGCATCCCTCAGGCACCACTATTACAAACTAATAACATTGATATGAAATCACCTAAAGTTGATGTGCAGGCAAAAAAATATTGCTGATACTGCTTTAAGAAGCATTGTATAAAACCTAAAAGGGTAAACTCACTAAAATACCCAAATACATCCAAATTGTGTACCCATAATAGAAATAACAGATAACAAAATAAAAACATGAAACTAACAAAGACAGGCAAAACAGCACGACAATCACCCACAAACTTACAACAACCCAAATTTGTAGCAAACCAGTATCTAGTAGTAACTGCCTCACAGCAACATTGCAGCAGAAGCCACCCAACAAACATTAGCAAGCATCGGTCACTAGTAGATCCACTTTTAGAGAGACGCTCACTACCAGCAAGGTCCATAAGATTTAGGACACCTTGTACTTGTTCAGTGCTCTGAAAAATGAGAGAAGAAAAACAGTTAATCATTAACTGGCATATTTGTGCAAGTGTGTGTGTGTGTGTGTGTGGTAAACAAGAAAGAGAGAAATATGGAGAGAATCAGTGCTAACACGCTTGAAAATGTGACAGTCCTTATTAGTATTCATACCTCATTAATACCAGATATTCGAAGAGTGAAGACAAAATGACTTCTTGAAGACCTGCTCATTCATCTGGGCCTTGCCTACAGACCTGAATGAAAACAAATACAAGTCTTGCAAATATAAACAGAAGGACATGGATCTTTTGGACCAAACAGCCCCAAAATTAAAAAAAAAAAACAAAAAAAACAAACAAACAAACAAACAAAAACACTAGCACATGATATACTGGTAAAGTGGTAACAAATTATTTATGCCAGGGGCCACAAATAAGATCTAAACTACTTTCTCAAAATAATTTTCTTTTGCAACTTGTAAAAGAAAATAATTATTATTTTTTTTTTTTAAGATTCATCATGCCTTTACTTGTTTAATTTTCACATGTGAGCACTAAGTTGTATGCACAAATCTACTTTCCTTCATTAACACAGTAGAAATTTCTAAGAAACTCTGGATCATATATTTTTTGAATGAAAGTAGTAAACAATGGATCATATACTGTCAAATATTTTTTAAATGAAAGCATTGAACAACAAGTACAAGGTGTTCACTTGCAACCCTAGAGCATCATACATGCTTTACCATTTCAAGGGAATGAATACCTTCTTAAGAAATCTTTATTTCAAATCTGGTACATGTTTACTATTGTCGAAATAATGATGAAAAATGCTGTAAAATTTTAAAAAGACCAATCGCAATGCTATGTATCTCAAAACATCGGTCATTAAATGTGTGTATCCCAGCCTTTTTTTGTAATGTAGTGAAAAATAGCATTTGGCATTGCATTGTAATTCATTTCTCCCCATTAAAGAACATACAATACAAAAGCCACTAAAGAAAAGTGATGCATTTGTACCTTGAGCCGATTATCAAATTTGGAGATGACAATTACTGTCTGTCTAAATGTTGGTTCACTATCTGCCAGTCCTCAATCCGTAAGGACCAAGTTTTATATATGGATCAGCCAATCCTAAAAAACAATTCCAGACTTCCAGTTATTATGCATATACTTGGAATATTTTCGATGGTTTAAAAAGGTAAATATTGTAGCATAAACCAAGCATTTAAATCTGAATGCTTGAGGTCAGCTGCATCAATAACTTCCACCAAGGCATAAGCAACAATTGTCTCCTCCTCATACATACATGATGGGTTTTCTAACATATGAAATCCATATAATTTAAAGATTAGAAAACCCTCAAGCATCTAGAAAAGGAAGAAATGACAGCATATAATTATCAAACTCATGTACTAAGCTACAACAACACCAGAACGCTCAAATTTCAGAGAAACTTGCACAAATAAAGTAATTTGTTGCAATAGCAAAAGAAACTATGAACTATGCTCATCTAACCCCAAAAGAGAGAGAGAGAGAGAGAGAGAGAAGAAGAAGAAGAAGAATACCAAGATCTATCATTTTCTGAATCATATGGCAATCGTATGTTTCACTAATAAGTTTTTTTTCTCTAGCAGCTTAACAAATCACTTAATAAGAAAGCTTATTTACTGTAGTTAAAATCCAGTAGCCAAAACAACAACAACAAAAAAGAAAAAGAAAAAGCAACCCAGTGCATGAGACTTCTGCCAAAGCGAGGCATATGAATGATAAGATATACCAACCTTACCCCCATTTTTGGAGAGGCTATTTTTGTGACTTGAACCCGTACCACTGGGGGCACTAACAGCATACTACTATTGGGCCAAGCCACACCCTTCCAAAAAAAAAGTCATATTTTGAGAATTGAACATCCCCCTAAAAATGTTTGAAGGTCAAATGAATACACCACATTATCTGAACCAAAAGAAAAAACCAATTAGTTAATATATAGCCCTCCTAAAAAACAGAGATATTCTTTTAGCATGGACATATGAAGTAAACTACTTTTCATAATCTAAATGTCATGCATTTTCCTCTCCAAAACATATAAGTAGTTATCAGCAAGTCTTTTTGAAACCAAATTTATTCCATGCAAACAACAAGATGATATCATCACATTCTAAAGAGTTATAGTCTACATTTCAACCATAATCCACTAAATTTCCAAAAAATCTAGAGCAATTTATGCTCCGTATTCTTTAACTACTTGTTAATGGACTTTCTAGTGTGGGAAACTGAATTTGTCAAAATCAAATCAAATCAAATATGAAAAAAGGAAACAAAATGAGAAACATTTACCAAAGGTTCAAAACACTCAATATTTTAGATGTAGTTAGCCCCAAACTAAGTATAATAAATAATATCCTCTACTATTTCAAATATTATATCAACATAGTTGTGGATTTATAATCCTTGGGAAATTTAAGTATTTGTTAAGCAACAAGCCCACTTCCTGTGATTATGCATGTAGTGCTAATAGCTAATGCCATTCTTCATAAAATTACCTGGTTGTGGCAGAACGAATTTGTCCAGGTCAACAACCAGCATATTGGGCTGCAAAGATTGTGAAGATTCAAATAAAAAACACTTTATGAGGAAATGCATCTGCCACATAAGCCTACATAATTGAATCCTCTACTGCTAATGTCTCTGAGCAAATAACAAGAGAATCTCTGAACTGTCCCAGTGGACTAAGGAAAACACTAAAACAATACATTATTGGCCAAGAAAATAAAAAATAGATGATAAGAAGACTTTATAAACAAATGGAATAGCAAAGTCTAGAGAACTTTACCTCAACTAGTGTTTGCTCAAATACAACAGCGAACAACTCATCCTAATCAAGGAGAAAAAAAATTATAGAAATACAATTCAAACAGAGAGCGAAAGAGATCCCAAGTAATTATTGCACATCAATTATGAAAGTAACTTACCAGCTATCCAGCAACCCCTGGAAATTCTGTAACATCAAGCCCATGAGTGAATAAAGGTTTCATAGTCATTTGAAAATATGGTGGCTCAACAAAGCATAACCTTAAACAGCCAAGGAAAGGCCAGTGACGAAGGAACTTTACCCTAACCAGGACCTAGAAGAGAACATGCATTTATGGGCATCCCGTGCATATGAAACAGAACTGTCTTTTTAGCAATCAATGGAAAAAGTTGATGATACTAATTTAAAAAATCATTGTAAAACCAAAAATAGAGTCTTTACAAATATTAGAGTGAATTTTAGAAAGAATAACAATGAGAATAGATATGATGAAATTTAAATTCATTCTAGGATGATACTTTACATCAAAAAGTAATGGCATTTCAGATGTAGTGAAAAAACAAACGAGGGAAAACAGTATTACAAGGAGCATAACAAATGTGCAATGTAAAAACAGAAATAACGGAACAAGTTCCTTGAGCATCCCCTAAATAAGCCAAGATGAAAACTAGGATTCTCATGCTTGTTTTGTGAGTTTCTATAAGTTACTTTTGTCCTTACTAAAGCGTTTGAACCAATTCTTGGGTATTTCTATGGCTAATTCACAATTTTGCCCTCCAGATGCTAATTTTCAATATTAAGTGTTAAAAAAGGTGCAAATTTGAGTTTGATTTTAAAATGGGGAATCCTATGATTGTTCCACAAGTTTTTACATTTTAATCCTTACTAAATTGTTCGTACTGATTCTTGGGTATTTCTGTGGCTATTTTATGATTTTGCCCTTCAAATGCCTATTTTCAAGGATAAATGCTCAAAAAAACATTTGAGCTTAATTTGAAAGCTGGGAGTCTCATGATTGTTCCATGAGTTACAACAAGTTACTTTTATGCTTATTAAGGTGTTCATACTGATTTCTAGGCATTTTGTGGCGATCTCTTGATTTTTCCCTCTAAATGCCAATTTCTAAGTCTAAGTGGTTAACAAATGTAAGTTTGAGCTTAATTTTAACATGGGAATCTTGTATTGTTCTATGAGTTTGTACAAGTTGGTTTATCTTCACTAAGGTTTTCATATTGATTCATGACCATTTTTGTGGCTGTTGCATGATTTTCTCCTCCAAATGCTTACTTTCAAGACTAAAGTGTTCAAAAAATGCAAATTTGAGCTTAAATTTAAAACTAAGAGCCATGTGCTTACTTCGTGACTTTCAACAAGTTACTTTTATCCTTCCTATTGATTCCCAAGTATTTCCATGGCTATTTCACAATTCTGTCCTTAAAACGCCTATTTTCAAGCTTAAGGTGTTATGTTTTACAATGCTTAAGACCTTAAACTCTGCTGCCTTTGTTTTAGAGTCAAGCTAAAAGCACCAAACAATACTTAAGACCTAAACCAACAAAATTAAACCTACTATATAAGCACCACAAATCAGCACCCAAAGACAACAACCAAACCAACTTGTTTAATTGTAGGTTGTTGACACATGTTATTCAAGTTAAATAAAATACATCAGTCTAATTAGGGATTAAATTTATCTGTATTTCAACGTATTAAATTTAAACTACGTTGGCAGAATTCACTACGGCTATTTCAATTGATATTTAAAAAACAATCTAAAACATTGTGCAGTCCAGTGCCACCTCTAAAAATGCACTATATAAATTGGGTTTGCAGCAACAAATATATGAAAGAGCACATATCATAAAAAATGGAAATAGAAAAAAGATAAAAGAGCTGTTAAAAAATCTTGAGTTATTTGTTCCCTTCATCATTTGGAATTGCTTGGTGAAGAGACTAATAAGAGCAGTTGAATAAAAAATAGCTTTATATTTTTGGGGTTCTACATTATCGACCATTGGAAGTTATTGTAGAAGACAATTACAAACATGTGAAGTTTATAAGCACATCTACATAATGTTAATTTTAGAGCTCAACTCAAATCCCAAATAGGTTAGAACCATTTACTTGTGCATCATAAGGTGCAGGACTAACAATGTCATTTCGAGTAATTGAGGTGGCAGGCACTGGAATAGATTTTTCTTCCATATGAAGCAACAAGAGCAAGATTTGATAATTGTAGAGTTTATTCTATAATCTTGACAATAGATGCAAATGTACTATCAATCTGCATTTGTATAGACATGTAATTTCATAAATAAAATTCAGGACAAAAGAACAAGAAAGATTGACAAATATTGTTAGAGACATAGATTGGTTACATCGATTTGACATCAGAAGTTTGCATCTAGCTTGTAATATTTTGGAGTCTAAGAAACATACCAGTGAATCAGTGATAAAGTTTGTCTCTTCCACAAAATGCTAACACTTTCCATCTTCATTGCATACTCTTTCACATTATCAACTTGTTCATTTACTGACATCAAGTCATGCTTGGCACGATGGCACTTTTCTATCTTATTCAATTACAGACAAACTCACAATCATTCTTTCCTTGCTTCCCTAGGACATCACTTTTTTAAGAACTTCCCACATAAAAAATGTAACTCCCCTAGTTTTCTAGGTTACTTATTTTTTGATACTGCTCTAACTGCCCAACAAATACTGGAGGCATAAGATGAACTTGTTAGAGACATAGATTGGTTACATCGATTTGACATCAGAAGTTTGCATCTAGCTTGTAATATTTTGGAGTCTAAGAAACATACCAGTGAATCAGTGATAAAGTTTGTCTCTTCCACAAAATGCTAACACTTTCCATCTTCATTGCATACTCTTTCACATTATCAACTTGTTCATTTACTGACATCAAGTCATGCTTGGCACGATGGCACTTTTCTATCTTATTCAATTACAAACAAACTCACAATCATTCTTTCCTTGCTTCCCTAGGTCATCACTTTTTTAAGAACTTTCCACGTCAAAAATGCAACTCCCCTAGTTTTCTAGGTTACTTATTTTTTGATACTGCTCTAACTGCCCAACAAATACTGGAGGCATAAGATGAACATGGAGCAAGTGCAATGGGCATACAATTTGTGAATGAACCCAGGTGGAAAAAAACTAATCGAGAAAAGTTCAAAAACATTTTGTGACTCATTTAAGTCGAGTCTAGATGCTCCTCCCCCACCCCCCCAACACACACACACACACACACACACACACTTAATGAGAATACATGAAGGAACATCACTTATGAAAATAAATATAACTTTAAAGCAAACCACCACATAAAATAGGCCTTGTTTTATGCACCAAATTTACAAAAATTAAATCCAGGGTTTCTCACATCAAACAGAATTGCGGAGTTGTCACGAAGTTCATTTGTTAAAACAATGCACGTAGAACCAATTGTTTACTGTTACATCTCTATTCATATGCATGAAAAGAATGTACTCCACTAAATCTAAAGGCTCCTTGCACGCTAAAGGCAGGACAAGCATAAATTTTTTTTGTAAAAGAACTTACCCACATGGGAGTTAAATACGACGATAGCTCATCAAAAAAAGTCAAGAAATAGGCCTTGAAAGTTTTGATCAAAGTGCACAAGCAATCACCAACCTAGATCATATAATGACATATGATGTAAAACCAGATAACATTAGTATGTATTTACATAACAAACAAAGCAGTCAAAGGGTATAGGGTAAATGTCTCCAGTAGATATGCTCCAATAACATACTTGATCAGAAAGTTCCTCTTCTTACTCATTTTCCTTCTTCAGCAGTTCCCTTTCTTCTGCATCGAAGTCTTCTGCTTTGGCTCTTTTTAACCTTTCTCTTTTTCTAGTTGAACTAGTTGTGATCACTCATTTTATCTCTTCAACTACTGACCTTACTAGGCTTTCATCCAGAAGAGGTCCAGCAAACCAAACCAAACCAAGCCTTAAGTCCTATCAAATGTGGTCGGCTACATGAATTCTTCTTCTCCAAGTGGCCCTATCAAAGGCCATTTCATTAGTCAAATTAAGTAGGCCATATCTCTATTTATCCAGTTAAGGCTAAAACTCTTTTAAAGTTACATAAGCTTGCTCAAAGTTATCAATTTGCAAAAGGAGAAGAGGGAGGGGCGGAAGGTTTTGTGATTATAAGATCAGCACCAATACAATAACATGCAACATTAACTTATATATTGTCCAGATAAAACCAGTTGACCGATAGTGTGCATCACAGAATCCCAAACAAAAACTAGTTGTGATTTAATTAAAATTATTCACCTAGTCAAGTTAGCAGGAAAACGGTGGGAGCAAGTAAACTGCATATTTCAACAGTGACAGTCAGATCAGTGCATGTTGGTGTACTGCAAATTACTTGGTCCTTTAGGCATTAATTAATAATTGGCAGACCCCAACCCACTTGGCTCGATCGACCTTACCCTTGACCTGGCCGACATGAGAAGAATGTAACCTGCCAAAACCTGTTTAACTCGGCCATTAAGTTATTCCTTTGGTCTGGGAGGTTTCAGAACTGAGTGGCTTTACTTTCTATTGAACCCCTTTTAAGAATGTTGCCTTAAGCACACCTCTTCTAAGGGAAACAGACACACAACATGACACATACGCAATAACTTTTAAACAAAGCAAGACACAACGAGTAGGGGATACACAATATATATAAATGCAACATAACACTAATTCATACAAATTATATTGTTTTTCTTTTATCATTGTATTCTAAGTTACTATGTTCAAATTTAAAATTAGTTGTCCCCAAGAGTGAAGTATTTCAGATCTAAAAAAAATCAAATAATAATAATAATATGACACGATTGAATGAGAGATCAACACATATCACGGAGTATCCAACAAGTGTCAATGCCCAACATGTGTCCGACATGGACACACTACCTTATAAGTATTCATGCTTCTTAGCACATACATATATATACACATATGAAAATGCACATAAATGTGGATTGTATAAACACACAAGCATGAAACTTGTTAGTATATAGGTATATACAATACATATACAAATAGCTAAATATTTATAATCTTACAATTATTATATACATTATCATACATAAACTTTAAATTTAAAAAAAAAAAATTAATTTCTTAAATGTCAATTTAGTTCTTTTTTTTTTTTGATAAATAAAAATAGAGCTCAATCACTACAGATCCAGACTTGAACCCCCGTGAAATCCAACCAAAAAAAACAGCTGAACATAAAAAAAAATATATAATTTAACAACACATCAAATTGAACATGAAATCTGAAAAAACAAAGATGGAACATATTGCATCAATCGATAAAAACTGATACACAGAAAAATTCAAAAAATAAAAGATAAAGCCATAAATTGATTAGAGAACAGCGACTAAAATTCGAAAGAAGAAATCCAAGAGAGTACCTTCAAGATTCATACCAGTCGTATAACTGTGAGAAAGAGATAGAGAGAGCAAAGAGACTGATTAGTGTTTGTGAAGGAGCTAGGGCAAATATAAGGAAAAATCCAGAAAAAATAAATAAATGTTAAGGTTTACTGAGAAAGAGAAACAAGAGGATATACATACCAATTATTATGGAGAGGTTGGTGATAACAAGAAGCCATGCTCACCGGTGGTGGTGACGAAAGAACAAAGGAGATGAGTTGCGCAAAGGTGGGGAGAACTAAAGAGAGCGATGAATCGCACTCAAAAAGTCAGTAGAGTTGAGCATGAAAAGAGAGAGAGGGAAAACGACATCAGAGGTGCCAAAATGAGATAGGGTTTTGAGGAAAATTCAAACATTAGGGAATTTGGGAGCGGGGTAAAAAATTGAGGTCCTGTTTGGTTGATTTTCTTTTAAAAAATATATTTTTGAATTTTTAAATATTTTCGTATCCTTTGTAAAATTATATAAAATTAATAAGTATGGTAGTTTTGATTTTTTAAATTTTTTCACAAATCTAATTTTTAGTCTTTAAAAAATAAATTTGAACCAAGTTCCAGAAAATCAAACCAAACATGACTACCACCTCAAAGATCCCAAAGAGTTTCGATTCTCTTAATTCGGTTATGTCAACTTTGAGTTTTGTGGGCTCATTTTGAGATTGATCTCGGCGATCCAACCATTCACTTTTTGCAAGTTATTGACTAGAACATTTATGAAAAAAAATCAAGAAAATCGGATATCAGTAACTATATGTTTGAAACACATTTAGATAGATAATTTGAGAGAATCTAAACTCCTTTAGAAAGTTCTAATAAAAACTCAAATCGTGAAACCATCTTGTTTCACTAACAAAACTTTTGCCAACGTATAATTTTGTCGTCACTAAATATTTAATTCTTCACCTACGCAAACTTATTGTTGCCAAAAGTAAACAAACTAATAGCAATGCTTATCGTGTTGCCAAAAAATAACCCTCGTCACTAAAAGTTTCGAAATTTTGGCGCCACCCAATAATTTTGGCGCCTGGTGAATGTTATGATTTTTTTAGCGACGGTAGTAAATTGCGTCGTTAAAAGTCTATTTTTACCGATGAAATTGATCACTGTGTCGCTAAAAATATACTTTCGGCTATGAAAAATTGGCATCGTCGCCAAAAGTAGTTGCCAAAAATGCAATTTCTTGTAGTGTTCTAACAATACAAACAAATAAAACTTGCTTTTACACAATTGGTAAAAACCAACTAAACCCAAGCAAAAAATTGCTTTAATTAAATAGAGTAATCGATCCATAAAGATTTTATATAGCCCAAACCTTTTCCATGCTTAGAAAATCCTGTTCATCACAAAGGTTAGTCGTCTATACTTTTTGTTTTGACATCCCAAATACTATTCATTTGGTTTTGTATTTGTTTTTCGAATCTCTTTCGCATAGGTATTCATGTAGAGAAAGTTAGCAGAACTATAAAAAAAAAAAAAAAAAAAAAATACAAACCAAATAATCTAGGCAGCAAGTGAATATAATAAATTAATTGAAACCATCTAGCAAACTAATTAATAATAAAATTAACTAATCAATTAACATGCTAGATGAGTTACAAAAATTAATCTATAACTCTAGAAATTAAATTAAAAATTAATACTTATCAGTTATGTATGAAATTATTACACAACTAAAACTCCAAAATTAAATTTACAATTTAATTTACATAATAAACAAGTAAATAAATATAGACAAGTTATAAAATTAAAATTTATAAATTAAAAATTTTAATTAGCAAGAGTTACATATACCTTATAACTTCACATAATTAAATTCAAATTATGAGGTAATTATATATGACATTATTACACCAATAAAATAAATTTACAGTTTTATTTACACAATAAACATGTACATAAATATAGACAAATTACACAATTTTGATAACTCCAAAACCTTAAATTAAATTTAATAAGCAACGGCTATATATGAATTTAATCCACAATAAACATGTAAATAATTCTTGCAATTAAAATCATGCAAATTGTTCTACAAATCTAGAATTTAAAACCATATTATAACATTATATTATAACATTAGAAACAACCATGGAAGGAAATTAAAGCCTAGACTCACAAAATTAAACTACCCTGGAAAGCACTACTAGGACCAAACAACATAAAACTAATATTTAATTTGTTAACCAAAATTAGAGCATGAGCCTTAGTTTTATATAATAAAACCAAATGGTCTTTTCGGAAAAATTAGCACCAGGTTCTCCAAACAAAATAGTAGCACTTTAATAAAATAAATTTGATAACATATATTATAGAAACCACAGCAGCATGCATATCAAATTAATTTACAATCATATTCACAGATATCAAAGAAACAATAACCTTAATTATCAAAATGAAACCGCGCAATAGTAGCAGATTTATGGGAACAGTGCACTACAGATTTACTACCCACATGAAGAGATGTACATAATGACAATTAGAATTTCAACGCATGAACCACATATTGTCCAATTATATATGAATTTATTTATTCAAATTTCATTAAGAATAACTCATTGAACCAAGCTAGTATTTCAGGGCCAAACTGGACACAACAGAACCATGGTTGGAGTAATTCCTATGTGAGGTCTATTGTCTTGGTTTATATAAACGGTAGAACAGTTCAAGATTTCGTGTTCACTGGACAGCCAGTAAATCCGATAGACTTCACTGGGAGGGGTTCAAAACCAAAAGCTACCTTTTCCGAAGTCGGGGTTATTCTGTTGCACTATCTCCGAGTCTTTGTTGTTAAGTGTTGTCTGTTTGTTGTTATTCGGTCAATTTTTATTCATGTGGGAGATTGTTGAAAAAATAATGATTTTTTGGTGACTTTAATACAATATTAAAATGGGTGCCAATCCTCAATTGAGGTGGAGTAAAGTGGGTTTAGATTCTTTGTAATAAAATCTTTACACCATAAAAAGAATGACCAAAAACCATTAAAGTTTGAATGAGAAATTGACTCATTAAGTTGGCCTCATGAAAAAGGTGTTGGGAAATGAGTAAAACCTTGAATCCCACATTGATTGTAGAGGAAAGCATTGATGGGTATTTAAATCTCATTTTTTGTATAAGGGTGCAAGCCCTTTGAGGCATCCAAATTTTCCGAAGGAAGAGAGTTATGAATGCTTCAAAGATGGACTTGGGCCAAGACTATGGTCCAAGTTGGCTATACAAAAATTGCCACACGCGCGCGCCGCCCACCCGCCCAGACAAGATCGGGCCGAGTCCGTGATCCGTGGGTCTTGGGTCTTGGATCTTGGGGCTTGGGCTTGGGCTTGGGCTTGCTGAAATGGATGGAGTGTGGGGATTGAGCTTATCCCACCCATCTTAATCTTTTTAGGCCAAGCTAGATGTGTGGGCTGCAGGAATGTATACACAAAACCTATGTGTATAATAAAGTTGATAACTCCTCTATTCATGATGGATTTATTCCACCAGTTTTGCAAATTAATGCAAAATTAATTTCTGCATTTGTGAGGGGCTCTAATTGCTAGAACTTTTTCCTCTCTACCTCCATGTGTATAAAAAGGAGACCTTTTTCCTTCATTCTTTGGACCAATAATATTTGTTCTTCTTATCTTCAAAAGTTTTCCTCTAGTTTGTATATTATATTCTTCTTGTGAGAGAGTGCTGCAAAGTTTTGTTCACCGAAGCTACTTAGTCGGTGCATTGCTGTAGCTAGTCTAACCGTTGTATTCTGGGAGACAGACGTCGAACAACCTCCGACACCCAACCGGTGAGGCGGCGAATCTATTTTAAGGACACTGTGTAGCGCAGGTTTCGATTTGCTTTTCTCTGCTATTTTATTTTATTATGTATTATAATTTTCAGCATGGTTTGTTGGTTCTAAAATTTCAATTGATGAGTATGAATCTATTTGTTCACGTTATCACAAAATTTATACAACAGATTCTTAGCTTTCAATCGGTAGAACTCTCTAATTTTTTTTCGATATTTGATTACTTTGATCATGTCATTCAAATTGAATGTAGATTCTTTGGTTGAGTTTAATTTGAATTATGATAGGAATTTATATTGTGAAGATGTTAATATGTTGCATTTTCTACAATTGTCCATTTTTGGTCCTCCTTCTCTTTCGAACATGTATGTGTGTTTTACACAATTTATTTATGCAATTTATTTACTAAAAGAAATTAGGTTTTAATGTTTAGCTAATATTTGTTCGGGTCAAGAAATTTTCTTTGGTTTGTGATATGGTGACTAGCCCATTTATGATGAAATGCCTCCCCTACAATGGTATTTTTTGAGAAAATTTTGTGATTTTTTTCTTTCTTTCTATATTCTATTGTTGGTTAGAAGGGTGGGAGGGTCCTTCAATTATAACATTTTTTCATATATATCATGCTATTTCATGGTGCACAGTCTTTTACTCTATTTTTATTTTTTGTGTAGTTTTAGAGGATTTAAGGAGTGGAGGAATTGAATTTGCCTAGAATCATTCTAGCAAAGACCTGACAATTTAGAGGTTGTGTTGTGAAATTCATGTATTCAAGACCATAGAACACAATAAGATATGGTCGGCTTTGGCTTTGCTCTGTTCATTAAAATATGAATTTGCTCTTAATCCGTTCATCATTTGAAAAATCATCTTCCTTTTTATTTTTTGATTCAAAATCCGTTTTTGTTTTTCTATTAAATTTTAGCACTTTGATTATTACTTTGATTATTCTAGCTTTGCCCTTTAGTACTTTGATTATTTATTGATTAAAATATGAAATATGCTTTGCCAATGAAGGACACAATAATCTAGATTTAAAATATGAAATATGCTTTATCATTTTCCCTACCCTTCTTTCTTGATGTTGTTTGTAGTTTAAACAACTGTTTGTAGTTAATGTTTGGAGTCAAATTCTTTGAAGCAAAGTACTAATTGATGTGTTTTATTGATAGTTTCAGTTGGAAACACAACTTATTTTGATAAATTGTTTAATTTTAGTAAAATTTGGTGGCAGAAAATGATTGGTGGATTATTAGTTTGGCATCTGCATATCTATGTGATTTTTTTATTTATTCCTTGAATGTGATATTTTATTCATGGTATATGAATTCGTTTTAGAACTTTTGCAATTCCATTTAAACCTCTTTTAGGTCAATTAAATTCAAAAAAGCTTAAGTTATTAATATGTTTGATTCCATTTAAGTATCTATTGATTGCTTCGTTTGGTTTCACTTAGTGAATTAAAATAAGCTATGTATTACTACCTTTCCATGAACAAAAAATAACTTTTGTATTGCTGGTATTAATATGTATTTAGTGAAGTTAACTTTCATAAAAATTACAGGTTT